AAATCATTACAATAAGAAACAAATCAAGAAATAAATCATTACAATAAGAAACAAATCAAGAAATAAATCATTACAATAACAAACGAATCAAGAATTAAATCATTACAATAACAAACGAATAAAGAATTAAATCATTACAATAACAAACGAATCAAGAAATAAATCATTACAATAACAAACGAATCAAGAAATAAATCATTACAATAACAAACAAATCAAGAAATAAATCATTACAATAACAAACGAATCAAGAAATAAATCATTACAATAACAAACAAATCAAGAAATAAATCATTACAATAACAAACAAATCAAGAATTAAATCATTACAATAACAAACGAATCAAGAAATAAATCATTACAATAACAAACGAATCAAAAAATAAATCATTACAATAACAAATCAATTAGCTAACACAATGTAAATAAATGCTTTTTTCGAGTGAAGTCGTTCGGGGTTGGTGAATCCTACTAATGTTACAATATCTCTGAAGTATCGATGTTTGGAAACTACCCGAAATTTCGGAAGTCAAGATATAGTGAAACCGGAACAAAAACATACAGTCGCTTTTCTGTAAATAAAGAACAACTGAAAATCTCGGAACTATTAATAAAGATAAAAGCGAACACTATTAAGATTGTTTGTTTTGAAGTTCGCGCAAAACTACACGAGGGCTATCTGCGCTAGCCGTCCCTAATTTAGCAGTGAAAGACTAGAGGGAAAGCAGCTAGTCATCACCACCCACCGCCAACTCTTGGGCTACTCTTTTACAAACGAATAGTAGGATTGACCGTTACATTATAACGCCTCCACGGCTGATGGGGCGAACATGTTTGGTGGGACGGGGATTCGAACCCGCGACCCTCAGATTGCGAGTCGAGCGTCATAACCACTATTAAGCATGGAACACTAAACTTTTTTTTCGTTATTTTAACTTATGGGGGGTCTGAATGTTATAGATCTGGACTATAACATCTTTTTAGTTTGTTTGAACATCTGATAATAATGCATAAATAAGAAGTTTTATTTCAGTTATTAAATAGTTTAGATGAAAGAGGAACTCACCTGTTCCGGGCTAAGAGACAGAGGTCCAACGCTTACAGCTGAGGCCGATGGTTTTGAAGATGTCCGACCATACCACATTGCATTAACTAACATCGATAGATAAAGTAATGCAATGCAGCAGGACACACGCTGACAGCGAGTGAAACGGCTTTTTGGTGGGCGCATGAATATGGAGAACCAGAGGTGTCCGTCGGACAGATTTTTTCTTGAGGTGACATTGAAAAGATGGGAAAATTCAGTGGCTTCTCCTTTGCCAGCAACAGGTAGAAGTCTGTCGATCTTTATCACCAGAAATTAACATGAAATACTATATATATATCACTAGAAATTAACATGAAATACTATATATATATCACCAGAAATTAACATGAAAAACTCTACGTATCACCAGAAATTAACATGAAAAACTACGTATCACCAAAAATTAACATGATAACCTCTATATATCACCAGAAATTAACATGAAATACTATATATATTACCCGAAATTAACATGAAATACTATATATATCACCCGAAATTAACATGAAATACTATATATATCACCAGAAATAAACATGAAAAACTCTACGTATCACCAGAAATTAACCCGAAAAACTACATATCACCAGAAATTAACATGAAAACCTCTATATATCACCAGAAATTAACATGAAATACTCTATATATCACCCGAAATTAACACGAAAAACTACATATCACCAGAAATTAACATGAAAACCTCTATATATCACCAGAAATTAACATGAAATACTCTATATATCACCAGAAATTAACACGAAAAACTACATATCACCAGAAAATAATATGAAAACCTCTATATATCACCAGAAATTAACATGAAAACCTCTAAATATCACCAGAAATTAACATGAAATACTCTATATGTCACCCGAAATTAACATGAAATACTCTATATATCACCAGAAATTAACATGAAAAACTACATATCACCAAAAATTAACACGAAAAACTACATATCACCAGAAATTAACACGAAAAACTACATATCACCAGAAATTAACATGAAATACCCTACGTATCACCAGAAATTAACATGAAATACTCTACCTTTTTAAAAGAAAAACATCTGAAATATTAACAAATAAACACACAAAAACAAGATATACAAAACAAGGAAACACTAATAATATAGAAAACAACAAAACTGTTCAAAAACCAACACAGATATTTTAAAACATAACCATTAAATAAAAGAAAATATATTAACAATATATTGTTTAATAATTTTTACGTAAAATAATTAATCCAGTTTCTCATTGCCAAAACTGGATTTGATTTGTTTTTTTATTAAAATCTGGGAGAACATTATTGGTTGTTAAAATCGGCTTGGTTGATTCGGTGTTGAATTTCGCGCAAAGTAATTCGACAGCCATCTGCGTTAGCCGTGATAGACTAGAAGGAAGACAGGAAGTCAACTCTTGAACTTCACTTTACCAACGAAAAGTGGGATTGTTCGTCACATTATAAAATCCCCACGGATGAAAGGGCGACCCTCAGATTGCGAGTCCAGCGCCCTAATCACCAGGCCGTGCCAGGCCCTAATCAAGAAGTCCTTAGTTTCATCCACTCACTAAAACTAATCAAAACTTAAGTTCATATAATTTAACCATTCTCAAGTGAGCAATAAAACACAGTTTAGTTACTTTAGTGGGCTTATAACGCTAAAAATCGAGTCTTGATACACGTGATGGGCTGGGCATGGATAGCCCATTGTGTAATTTTGTGCTTTACAATAAAAAAAATGTTATATTTAATTTTGTATTTGAATTTAATGAAAGCTTACATTAGGACAATGGTATTACTTCCTTCATTGTTCATCTGTCGTTTTCATATTTCCAATATTCGTTACGTTCATTTATATCAACCATTAAAAAACAGAGCAACAGGATACTTTCATCAAAACATAAAAAGAGGTTCTCAGATGGATTTTTTTTTTAAAATCCATTAACGACCCCAAGTTTTTTTATTTATTTATTTCCCACGTTATTGTCCCTCGGTGGGATAGCGGCAAGTCTTCGGATTAATAACACTAAAATCAGGGGTTTGTTTCTCCTCGTTGGACACAGCAGATGGCTTTGCTATAACAAAACACAAACACTTACGTTATTTGGCAAGTGTTTGCCAAAACCAATAGAAATTTACGTACATTCAACGTTTCTGTTTCGTTGAATTTCGCGTAAAGCTGCAAGAGGAATATCTGCGCTAGTCGTTTCTAATTTTGAGGTGATAGACCAGAGGGAAATAGATAGTTAACACCACCCGCCAACAGCTCTTGGGCCACTTTTGTTACATCAAATAGTGGGATTTGAACGTCACTCTTATAACGCATCAACTACCACTAACTCTAAGACTACTTTTGTCAGATCAAATACTGGGATTTGAACGTCACTCTTATAACGCATCACCTACCGCTAACTCTAAGACTACTTTTGTCACATCAAATAGTGAGGTTTGAACGTCACTTTTATAACGCATCACCTACCACTAACTCTAAGACTACTTTTGTCACATCAAATAGTGAGGTTTGAACGCTACTCTTATAGTGCACTGTTGGCCTGAAAGTACGTAGCGCTATTTATTCTTCTTTGTAACAGGACGCGAACCATGGAGCCTCAGCTACAAATTCCGGTGCCCTAACCACGGGCCATCATCCGCCACATACAACGAGGAAAATCATATGTTGTGAGGTTTAACTTTTTGGTTTCTCGCGGATCAGTAGTTATTGCAGACAATATTGTTCTCGGGACTAAATTGAAAAGGAAAAATAATACACCCACACAATTAGCTTGACACGGCTTGAAACCATCTAGTTTTACTTACCGCTCCGTCATCTTTTTCAACTGCAAACCATTTGTTCGCTATGAACTCATACTTTTGACCGGTCTGAACGTCTCGAATCACAATGAAGCTAAGAAACCACGACCGGAATTTACCTTTGCCAGAGTTATCGTGCCAAATCCGCATATAGTTCAGTCGTCCGAGGGATCTAAAAATGGATTATAGATTATTACGACGAAGTCACCTACAGGCCGTTTGTAGGTACTAGAGAAAACAATTATGAGAAATACTTTTCTCACTGCAACTATTCTGAATGGCAATAATAATTAAATAATTATCTAGTGTCAAAATAATAGCGGCTATGATCTAAATATTAATGTCAAAGTAATAACGAATATTCAATCTATACCTTTGAAAATAGCTTTTAGACGTCCTCTGTGAAAGTTCAGTCCTTGGTAATGTTATACACAGGTCAACCACTTTACTAGGTGCTTTGTCGTGAGCTGCAGGTGCAACATAAACTGACCACGTGATGCGTCACGTGATCCCAGTAGCAATGTAAATTACTGGGAAAAGCATATTTGTAGCCAAATTCGGTGACGAGGAACCCACTTTGAGACTAATAATGGTTGGAGACGGCTTGAATGGGTAATGAAGTAAAACTTTAATATAAATTTAACATAACAGCAAATGTACAAAGTTTCGACAAGGTTTTGTCATCATCA